GGCTGCCGCGGCCTGGCCTCGGGGGAGGTGAAGGGGCTTCCCCTCCGCATTGCCTCCCGCTGCTGTACCCGGGCAGCCGCACCTGGGAGAGGCCCTCGGCCCGGTGATGTTGGGCAGGATGCTAAATAATGCCGGCCGAAACCCCAGCTCCTCTGGGTTTTGTACCGCAGAGAGCCTGTAAATGATTCTATGATTCTAAATATGCGTTTGTTTGAACGCATTTACCTTGGGCGTGTGGTGACTTCTTCCCTACTGTAAATGCAGAGGATGCACGTGTCAAAGAAAGGGTGTCACAGTAGGGCAATATATATATATATATAACAAAGGCAATGGATAGTAATTTTAAAATACTTGGATTTAATGTGCTTTCTGGCCATTATAAAGGTACATGCTGGAATTCATTCTGTTCTTCAACAATAACAAGAACGGTTTGGTATTATTGGACACTGGCCAGTGTAGGTCTGAAGTAAATTAATATGTTCTTTCCGATTAGAATTTATTTCTTTAGCGACTAACTTCTTATTTAAAATACAAATTTTTGAGTGTAGAACCTGGAAGAGTTTCTACTGATCTTTTATTCATTTCTTTTAGTGCAAGATTGTATACTTTAATCTACTATTACCTTAAACGTCTGTGGTCTCACTGGTTACAATCACTAATTCATCTTTAGTTATTCTGACTGCCTCCCTATTCATTATACTGATTTGTCTTGCTTGGGGTTTTTAAGAGTATTACTGTGTGCTGCCTGAGTGATTTAGACACCTCTGGCTATATATCTGTTTCTATATACTAGTTTATGCAAACAGCAATTAAGATTAATTTAGAGTTATTGATGTGTACTTTCAAATTTTAAACTGGATTTTGCTTTGGAAATTTTCTTTTGGGGGTTTAATGCAGGAGGATTACACCCAAGAGCCCCCTAATAATTCCTGTGCAGCAGCAAAATAGCAAGTGATGAAAAGACTGAAGTTCTTTATTTCCAGAAGCCTACGTACCTTTCCTTTTCAAGAGTTTCCATACAGATTTATTTTGTTATTTATTTATTTATTTATTAGTAATGTGGACTTTGTTCATGTAAAACTGATATTTTGAATTTGGCAGTGTTGTGGTTTAACCCGGCAGGCAGCTGAACACCACACAGCCGTTTGCTCACTCTCCCCGGATCCCCCCCCCCGCCCAGTGGGATGGGGGAGAGAATCAGGGGAGGAAAAAAAGTAAAATTCATGGGTTGAGATAAAGATGGTTTAATAGGACAGAAAAGGAAGGGAAAATAATAATATTGATAAAAGAATATACAAAACAAGTGATGCACAATGCAATTGCTCACTACCCACCAACAGATGCTCACCCAGTTCCCGAGCAGCGGTCACC